AGGGATGTCCTATAATTAGATGTAGCACCTACCAACCGCCCGCTCGGGCCCTGTAAATTTAACATTCATCTAAAATTGATAGGAAAAGACAGGAGTGAAAAAGGGTAGTGACAAAAACTTTAGAAAACTCCAGCTTTTGTAAAGCGTTTTACGGCGCTCACAACTGCATAAGGTCATATGAGCGCGCGGGACACACCTCCTGATATCTTCAGTTGGTAGGAAATTTTTAATTTTGCCCGGGTGGCAGCCGAAGCCTACTCTAAATTTTGAAAAACCAAGGGATCTTTAACGTGCACAACTTGCACACAGACCCTCTGAGATTTTTCGCCCCTGTCCTAGAAGGCTAGGTGTAGATCTTTCCTACCAGAAGAGCAGGGGTGTGGCTAAAAGAGACAAAGGCTGCAGAAAGAGTCGGGAACCCAGAGGAGGGGGCAAAGGAGGTGTGAGAGGCCAACACCTTAACCCCAAAGGCCACGAGATCCCCCATGGGCACCTATTTGTCAATAAGAAAGGTGGTTGTCTTAAACAGGCAGATGTCTTGGACAGTGTCACTATAGTCCTTCAAAATCGCAAAGGGTGACACGAGAACCGGTCGTTTTGTACAAGTGACTGTCTAGGATAGATGGCCGTTCTAACAATTTCGTGCAGAAATAGTTCCACAGAAAAAGATGTGCGTTGAAATGAAATGAAATCGAAGGTTTAGTAAAGCCTCCTGCAACACTGCAATGTTATTTCAAGAAGCAGAGCCTCCGAATTTATGTCTCTGACCGGACCAGAGGGAAAATTCGTGGAAAGTGCGTTTCCCAAAAACACGACGTTTGGCCCAGCTGAGCCTTGAACAAACCCCAGAATAAATTCAATTTATAAGTAATCTCTGGATCACGGGTTGGGTCGTAGCTTTGGCTGTCATAGTAAAGGCCATGCACCGCTGGCTCCAGCATTGAAAGCCAGCCAGGTTCGCAGTGAGGTGAACGAGGATCAATGCAAAAAAGTGGTGGTTGACAAAAATGCGCAAACACGGGAGATGGAGCATTCTAGCATTGTGCTCACTACACTGGCCGACAAAGAACCTCACTCAAATTCGTTGCGTTTTTTTGTTGCTTTTTTGAGAGTGTTTATCCGCCCTTAAAAGAAAGGAAGATCACATCAGTGACAGAGCATATTATCAATTCGTCTGTATTTTCTTTAAAAAATGAATTGAGTTCATTTACCAGGAAATATAGACATTGGGTTCAACAATTGTGTTCTTTACTTGCAACAAGAAACCAGATGCAAGAAAGACATTGTCCTCATACTACCAATATTTACCTCTTAGGCTAGATATTAACTGAATTCAATCAGCTGTTGATAAAAAAGCAGTCCGTCACCTCTAATAAAGTTACTATTTGCACATCGAGATGACTGCTTGGCAGTTTTTCTCTTCAGTTGTCCTTTGCTCTCCGTGGTACTTTGTTGAGAAAATCTCTTCATGAAAGATAATAACCAATGACATCAGCGAACTCTTTGTCATGACGACCGTGGTACTTTGTTGAGAAAATCTCTTCATGAAAGATAATAACCAATGACATCAGCGAACTCTTTGTCATGACGACCGTGGTACTTTGTTGAGAAAATCTCTTCATGAAAGATAATAACCAATGACATCAGCGAACTCTTTGTCATGACGACCGTGGTACTTTGTTGAGAAAATCTCTTCATGAAAGATAATAACCAATGACATCAGCGAACTCTTTGTCATGACGACCGTGGTACTTTGTTGAGAAAATCTCTTCATGAAAGATAATAACCAATGACATCAGCGAACTCTTTGTCATGACGATGTCAATGAAAAAAAAATGAAGGGAAAGTCCCACAAAATTGCTCCCAATGTTGCAGTTTTTCATTAGATTATGAAAAAAAAACCTCAACAAAAAACATGTAGTAGACAAACACTGTAAAGCCATAGAGGACAAGAGATAGATAATGTAGCCCACTATGATCCATGCTATAAATTAACTGTCTAATCTTTATGTGGTGAATTTGCTGATCACTCTTTAGGAAGAGGCATTCCTGTAATTCTCTGGTCGTATAGGCATGGTTTTTCAGGCTTTTTACATGCTCCGACGACCACAGAAGTGCCCCGGGACCGGTTGCGAACGACGATTATAACGATAAATTCTAGAATCTAGTTTTGACCCCAATGACGATTACTTCTGGTTCTAAGTCTAAACGATTACTTTTTGATTTGCGTGCCGATATGGAGAGATAGCCTTTCAAACCTTATTGCAAAACATCAAATCGTGGTCAAATTCAGGGGGGCATGCCCCCCTGAAACACCCCTTGTTTGTTTTTTTAAGTCAGGGGGGCAACCCCCGGGCCTTGTGAAAAACAAGTGAAATTTTACAGCTCATTTTGTATGCTAGATTTTGATCTAGGATACTGATAAACGAAGTGTATACAGACCCGGTAACCGGGAACAAAGTCACAAAGTATACAGACCCGGTAGGGGAACTCTTTTGTGATTTCGGAGGGTTTCAGCGCCCAGACCCGGTAGTGTGTGTGTGTGTGTGTCTGTGTGTGTGTGTCTGTGTGTGTGTGTGTGAGTTAAAGAGAGGGAAGAGGCTAGCCGTACTTAATGACGGCTAGACTGGCAGTCTAGCCGTACTTAAGTACGGCTAGACTCGCAGTCTAGCCGTACTTATTCTTAATATGATGGCTAGACTGACCATTTACAAAAAATAGGCCTACTGAATTGTAAATACATGTAGATCTATACATTTTTAGTGTTCAGTACCAAAAGTATTTGTGTATTTGAGACGAAACCAGGTGCCTTAATGACAGTGCATGTCCTCCTGTTTTCTAATGTTAATAGGGCCTAAGATAAGTACGGCTAGACTTCTTGTCTAGCCGTACTTAAGTACGGGTAGACAGCCAGGCTAGCCGTACTTAAGGACGGCTAGACTGTCAGGCTAGCCGTACTTAATATTGATGGCTGAATTGTAAATGAAAATTTTAGTTTGCAATGCCTAAAGTATTTGTATTTCAGACAAAACCAAAAGGTGCCTTACTGACTTGCATGTATTTAAACCTGAATAATTACTAGATCTAGATATCTAGATCTAATGAGACCTGTGTACTTAACAGGCTTGAGTCGATAGGGCCAAACCTAGATCTAAGTACGGCTAGACTGGCAGTCTAGCCGTACTTAAGTACGGCTAGACTCTCAGTCTAGCCGTACTTAAGTACTGCTAGCCACTTCGAAAAAAGAATGCGAGCGATACAGAGAGAGAGAGAGAGAGAGAGAGAGAGAGAGAGAGAGAGAGAGAGAGAGAGAGAGAGAGAGAGAGAGAGAGAGAGAGAGAGAGAGAGAGAGAGAGAGAGACTGCTCGATTGAAATTATGACATTGTTCTTTTCTTCAAATTGTGATTCCTTTAACTCCAAAACAGGGGAAAAACGATCGTTCATCGAAAAGACATCCGCAATCTTCATTTAGTTTTAGATCTAGAAATCTAGATCTAGATCTAGATCTAGATCTAGAATCTATATCTAGATCTAGATCTACAGTCTAGATCTAGATCTAGGCTAGCCTCGAAACTAGATCAATGATTTATATCTGTCTGTCTAGATCTAGAAGAACCTAGTCCTACCCTGAGCCAAGAGGGTGCTGAAAGTTTCCGAAATCACAAAAGAGTTCCCCTACCGGGTCTGTATACTTTGTGACTTTATTCCCCGTTACCGGGTCTGTATACACCAATGATAGTATCTTTGGTATACACTCCCACTGATAAAACATACAACATTGATACCGACTATTTAAATCAGTATCGATATTTCAGTAGATCTAGATCTAGGCCTACACAAGTCGGGACCACCATATCCAAGTAGATCTAGATCTAGTGCCTAACATCATTTTTTAACTTTGTTTTGGTCAATTTGATCGTCCACATCGATAGACAGTATTCAGAAAGAGACAGAGAGAGAGAGAAGAGGGGACGAGTTGATCTTGCGAGAACTTCCGGGCGGGTGAGAATAGCCACTTTCACTCGAAAAACCCCACACAATTCCGACAAACAAAGACGAGCTTATTCACAACAATCAACAATTATTCTTACCTGTGGCAACGTTCAAGAAAACACCTTGACTAGAGATTTATTTCTTCTCCATGACCATATTAGACTGAATCCAACGGGTCTTCTTTACAGTCCAGGATGTCCAAAAAAGTGTCAATGTGTGACAACGGATCTGAGCAGAGATCCTAGATTCTAGTCTCTAGATCTAGAATCTTGTTCTAGCACATAACCTTGTAACTCTGTAAGTAGGAAGCGTGCGTTGTGCAGTCTGAAGGCAGTTGTCTGTTGCACTGACTGAAAGTAAAGCATTAAAAGCAGAAAAGCACACTTGAACTGAACTTACTTAGTAAGTTAATACACATTCGTTCGTGTATTGTCAAGGAGGTAGTAAGATCGAACATGTTGTATAATTATATCGAACATAGACCCCCATAGTCCTTGCTCGAATATTCTACTTTGTGTTCGGGTCAATATTCGATGCATAGGCTGGATTACAACATTATTTGACAAAAATGTTATAGACTCAAGTTATATTTTTATTTTTAACAAGCGTTTTTCAGAATCATTTCCATCAGACTATCTCAGACAATTCATATTTACGAAATTTGAATTCTCTTGTTTTTGTCACTGCTGAATAACACAACTGACAGATTTCATAACAGACAATGGGCGGAATTAGTCCTTTAATAGGCTAATTCTATTCTCTATTACTATTATAAATTATAATAATTTTCTTAAATTTGACCTGTTTCAACTTTATACATCATGTTTCCCTTAAGAGTTCTTAACAAGACGCGTTTACAAAAATTAACATATTTATATGAGTCATATATGTCCATTAATGTTCTCATATATATAAATATGCAAATGACACATACATGTATATACATTTTTAGGCCTTTATACATCGTACGTTTATTATTTTTATTGAAGACTTTTTGTGAGATCAATATACCATGGTACATCCTACTTGCGAGAGAAAAGTTAGTGAACTGTGTGTGTGTGTGTGTGTGTGTGTGTATGTGTGTGTGTGTGTGTGTTGCGTGAGATTGGGGGGAGGGGGGTTGGAGAACGAGCATAATTATTTGCCCATAATGTTAATAGTGGGATAATATTATATAATACTGATAGACAGTAATAATAATAACAATAATAATAACAATTAATATAAGGAAATATAATAGTAGTAATAATGATAATAGTAACAATTATAAAAATGATGATGATAACAATAAAAATAATAGTTACTTACTTACTTACTAATTACTACCCATTACGCCGTCTGGCTTTTAGGGCAGCAACAATTAGGATCTCCAGCTCTGTCTGTTTTGGGCCATCTTGGTCAGCGTTCCCCACGAATGATTCCAGGACTTCATTTCAGACTCTACTCAATGTCGTGCGTCTCCAGGTCACTTTGGGTCTGCCCCTTTTGCGACGTCCTTGATAATAGTAATGATAATAATAATAATAATAATCATCATAATCATAATAAT